GGAGGTCCCTCCCAGCCGAAACCATCCCATGAGTCTGTGGTTCTGTGATAATTAGAAACTTTCTATCAGTGCCCTTCACAGTTGTCTGTTTTGTTTTGTTCGGTTTTTTTTTCTAAATTTTGTTCACCTTAAAAGAAATGCACAACTTCCCTTAGAGGAACACATAAAGTTTTTATGCTGATAAGGTGAATGAATACCAAGTTAGGCAGCACAAGGTGCTTCTCTGGGCAGCAACAGCATTGCTTGCATAGAAAAAATACTTCCTGGTGTAATACTGGGCCAGATGAAAGAACAGACTTGGTTCTCCTAATTCCAAAATTTATCAGGAACAGAACTGGGAAGGGAAAAAACAAACCTTCTTTCTCTTATAACTTACTTAGAAATCCAGTTGATGTTACATTTCTACTCTGTTGAGGTCTGGACATTCAAATGAAACTAAAGAATCTGAGAACCCCAGAATGGTTTGGGTTGGAAGAGAACTTAAAGATCATCTCATTCCACCACATGCCATGGACAGGGACACCTTCCACTATCCCAGGTTGCTCCAAGCCCCATCCAGCCTGGCCTTGGACACTTCCAGGGATCCAGGGGCAGCCACAGCTTCTCTGGGAACCTCTTCCAGGATCCCACAGTAAAGAATGTCTAACACCTTATCCATCCCTGCCCTCTGGCACTGGGAGCCATTCCCTGTGTCCTGTCCCTCCATCCCTTGTCCCCAGTCCCTCTCCAGCTCTCCTGGAGCCCCTCCAGGCCCTGACGGGGGCTCTGAGCTCTCCCTGGAGCTTCTCCTCTCCAGGGGAACATTCCCAGCTCTCCCAGCCTGGCTCCAGAGGGGCTCCAGCCCTGGGGCATCTCTGTGGCCTCCTCTGGGTTCATTCCAGCAGCTCCACATCTCTCTGTGCTGGAGGTGGGGTCTCACCGAGCAGAGCAGAGCTGCAGAATCCCCTCCCTTGTCCTGCTGCCCACCCTGCTTTTGTCTCTCTGCGCTGGGAGTGCTCAGTGCTGGGTCTGACAGAGTTCCAGGGATGGTGCCCAGCTCCAGACACCTCCAGGAACAACATTTCTGTGACAGGAGCTCCTCAATGACACCTGCACTTTGAAATGTCAATTACCTTTGGAAATCATATCCCCATACCCAGGCCACGCTCACGCCCTTATTTATTTTGGTATTTACCCAGATTTATGAAGGAACAGAGAGCTCCTATCTCATATTTCCCTCTCTCTGCAAGGCTTTATATGTAGTGTGCCCTTTAGAAGTTATTGTGCACCACATAATTCAGTTTAATATGCTGCTTTGTTACATTACCTTTCCTTTGATATTACTCTCCTGAAGGCAATACGACCTTGAAGGTGATATTTTAAACCAATAAATGAGGAGAGGAACTGAAAATCAAACTGAATGCTGTAAGCCAGAAGGCTGGATTTTCATCTCAGGCCTTTATTTCCCTACATGAAAAATACAGAAGTCTAACATTTATGTAATTACATTTTTTTCTTGATTTGCCAAGGGGAACAAATTTTTTGCAAATTCTTATCTATCATGAATCCTCCTGTCTATGTGTGAATCCATAAATTCCATTGCCCATTGCACTATTACTCCTTTGTGCAGCCCCCCATTTTTGAAAAAGGGGTGCTGGAGATAAGAAAAATGTCAAAATATTAATTTTGATAAAGAAGGCTTTCTGGAGACAGCCTTACCTTGTGCCAGGGGAGGATTAGATTGGATATTGGGGAAAATTTCTTCCCTGGAAAGGTGGTCAAGCATTGGAACAGGCTGAACAGGGAAGTAGTGGAATCACCATCTCTAAAAGTGTTCAAAAAACACGTGGATGTGGCACTTGGGGACAGGGTTTTGTGCTGGACTTGGCAGTGCTGGTTTGATGTTCTGAAAGGGCGTTTCCAACCTTAATTCCTCTTTAAATCTGTGATTATTTCGATTCCAGGACCACTACCTGTAATTTTTTTTTCCATCCCCTCGCATGTGAAATCTTATTCTTTAAAACTATTCCTTGTTATTATTGATTTCCTAAGATGCTAAAAACTAGGAAAATTTGTCCACCTTCAGTTGGAGTGTGTGAGCCACCTCTTTCCAAGCCTTCTTGGGCATCCCTACGTCACTGGGCAGTGGGGAGACCCCATCAGTGCCAGAGGGGGCCCTGCTGGGCAGTTTCACACTCAAGTCACTTTGATTTCCGTGGGCAGATTTCACCCAGCAGGAATTGCTGGCTGCAGCATGGTTTACAAATGTAGGGAGACTGTGCACGCTGCCCTTTATTCCATTTAATTTTAATTTTTATTTTTTGTTATCATAATTTTCTTTGCTCTTTTAAATTATTTGTTTCAAATAGATTTTTCCAGGCAGGATCAGAAAATGTTCTTATTGATGGGGAATTCTTTGCAACCTCCATCTCTCCCCTATTTTAAGGTAAATTACTTGACTTGCTGCTTCTCTCTCCCCTCTCTCCCAATGTCAGCACATCAGTGTTTTCTAACACAATGAACTTGTAATTTCTTTTTAAATGGGGCTGGTTTTTATCTCTGCATGGAATTGCCACAAAATCAGCCACCTGCTATAACTGAATTTCATCCACACTGCCATGGGATATTTATACTGTGGCTGTTCCTGTTCTGCAGCCTGAGGATATCCTTGCATTTCTCTGGTTTGCATTATCCATTGCTGGATAATATTGGAAGATATCTGTGTTAAAATATTAATAAAAAATAAAGTTTTTTTCCCTATTCCTATTCAACAGTTAATTCAAGCAAGACCAACAGGTGTTTCTCCAAAGATCTCATTAACCACTGATTATCTCCAGCATCCCTTGTAAGCAAATGTCTCATTAACGTGGATGTTCACACATAATTTCCTTTTGTACATAGTGCCACACTTCAGTGAGCCATAAACCTGTCGCTGCACATCCTCAGGTTTACATGGAAAATGCATTTCCTGCTGCATGAACACACACAAGCTATCAAAGATGATAAAATCTAACAGCACTCAACGTGGTCGTGATTACCATCCTTAGTACATAAACAGTATCACAAAATTATAAAATCAGAATATCCTGAGCTGGAAGGAACCCACAAGGATCATTGAGTCCAAATTCTTGCACAGGACACCCCAATGTCCCCACCATGGGCTGAGAGAGTCCAAACCTTTCAAATCCCAGGTTCTGAGAATTTTAGAAATATTCTACTGAATTATAGCACTCATGGGGTGAGATCCTCATCTGGCAAATGAAACAATCTGGGATAGGAGTGGGAAAAAGAGGTAGAGGAGCAAATGTAAAGGATTCCTTTATTTTTTTCCAGCTCCTGTGATGATTTAATGAGCATTTCTACCACAATTTTATATTTTGGTGGGTCCTCTTATTATGATGTTGAATATCACAACAACATTGTTTGATACTGACCTAATTTTTTAAAACACCAACTTACTCAGGTCTGCTCTACTCACCACACGTGGTACTCTCAGCCTTCTATTTTTGTGAGAAAAATAAAACATAGGACTGGAAAAAAAAAATAGGAGTGGATTTGCTACCACTGAAGCTGATGGGAAAATAAAAAAGACACCAAATCCAGTGCTGAGAACATCCCTGATGGGGAGCTGCTGAATCACCAGAGCTGGGGGAGCCCACACAGCTTTAACGAGCTCATCACCCACATCTCGTTACATTGGACCCACGCCAGGCAGAAATACTTGGAAGTATTATCTGCTTTTCCTGAAGGTTTTATTTCCCTTGGCACGCAGTCAAAGGGAGAGAATTTTGACAGGAAACCTCGTAGAAAATCATGGAGCTGGAGGCTCTTTTTCAGTTGATAGCATTATTTGCTCAATATCAACATCAAATGCAAAGAAGCAGTGGAAATGTTTAGGTTTGGTTCTTCTTGCTTTTCCTGCTGAGGCAAAAGATGATTTTTATTTTAGAATCACTCAATAAGTATTTTTTTAAATATTAATAGGAAATTTGAAATATTTCTCTGTGGTTTTATGTACACTAGATAAGTCTTCTAGGTTTGTGAGCTGGTAAAATGGTGTTTGCAGAATTACAGGAAGATTTATTCTTGGAAGCCAATTTTTCACACGTCTGGCACAGAGACCAGAAAGAAGCAGGAACTGAGTTCCTTTACTGTATTTACAATAAATTTTAAATTAATTTTTCTTATATCCCAAGAGATGACAGCTCCCACCCATAGTCCCATTACCTCCTCTTCCTGCATTCATGTAGCAGGAAATTGGAATTTTTTTACCACTCAGACCTTTGCTTCAAAGTCTGTTACCTGAGGCATCATCTTTGAACTGATATTAAAGACCTGCATCTATTTTTAGCTTATGCAAGAAATCATTAGAAGTCAAAAAATTCCTCTTTTGACATTGTGAGTTTATATTCTCTAGAGCAAAGGCTGCAGTAAAAATAATGAACGATGTTAGGACAGTTCTTTGGTGAGGAAGGACATTTTTTCTAAGAAAATTAGTAGAGTGAGTTTGTCTCACATATCCACAGAAATGGCTGCAGGATGAAGCAGAAACTGCTTTTCAGTTTTCAGACAAATTCCATAATGAGTGAGTTCCCAAACCTGCACGAGGATTAAAGCCAACAGAAATTCATGGAGTTTAATCAAAGATATGATCCATAAAGTTTTTGGGTTTTGTCTTTTTTAATTTACCCAGCAGTTCTGAAAGATGATAGCTAAATGGCAGCAGGCTTCATACTCAAGGGAAAAGTTGTTTCTGGCATGTTGGAGTGAAATTGGGACTAAGAAATGTCATCTTCTGGGAGAGTAAAGCCTGGCCATTACTGTGTGATGCCATTAAAGATTTTGTGCTATTTCTATAAATAAAAAAAATCCCAGGGAAATTTACACTGTTTATTATTCTAAACAAGAATATTTTTATTTATAGAAGGAAGAATCAACCACAAAGCTCAGCAGCAGTGTGAGGAAAGGGATGGATTTCCACCACTAACATATTTTAATTTATCTCTCCTTCTCTTCCCCAGGTTGCCCAGGAATGTGGGACAATATCACATGCTGGAAACCTGCAAGTGTGGGAGAAATTGTCTTTGTCAAGTGTCCTGCACTCTTCAGATTTATCATCTCTGAAGATGGTAAAGTATTTTCTCTTTCTTCTTCACCTCTGCCTGGTAAAGCCTCGTGGCCAGCACGAGTGTAAAACCTCACTCAGATCCTCAGACGTCAAAAACCTCCCCAGCTGGGCTCCAGCTATAAAAAAATCACAGAAAACCAGGATATTTGTGTGTAGATAGGTGAGTGTGCACAGGGTGGGAGGGAAGGTGTGAACAAAAAGTCTTCACAGACTGCACAACATGAAAATATCACAAATTTGGGCTGCTAAAGGGAATATTCTGCCTTTGGGTCTCACTGAATTCAGTGGGGACCCAAATCTGTGTTTGGGTCTTGGGGAACACAGTTGGAATCAATTTTAGGAAATAATTAAAATGTAGAGCATGTTCTGCTTGTGCTGAAGGAGAACATAGGCTTGAGATGAGCAGTGAGGAGCTCCATGTTGGGGTTCAACCCAAATGAAATGGGTTTAATTCCCATATTGGGAATTAAAGATTTCTGGAGAGAGGCAGAAGTTCCATCTCTTTTTTGTGTATGATGATTTTTGTTTATGTCTCATTAAATGTAAATATAAACATAGACATAAGCATCCTTCTGTCCCTGTGCTGGTAATTTACACAGATTGGAACATTTGCTCCCAGCACCCACTGCAGATCCCTTAATTAGCACTGTCCTTTGAGGAACAAGTTCATCACTGTGGATCCTTTTTACCAAAATTTATTTTATCAATTAATTATTCATTTACAGCCTTGAGTCAAAAATGTGCTTTTTCTTGCACTGCCACACACACAGAGCATCATTTTTAGGAGACAGTGTTTTATACACAGCTCCAGGAATTCTGAAATCCTCACTTTTAATCCTCACTTCCATTCCAGCATGTGCAGGCAAAGGAATCACCACTGTCACCTAACACATGACCCACTTTAGAAACCAGATCAACTGAATTTGACCTGTTCCAGGTTTTAAGTAAATACTTATCTGCTAATGAAAAAAAAAGAAATATTTTTATTTATTTGAATTAAATTATTTAAATTAAAAAAATTAGATTTTTAAAATTATATTTATTTTATGCTTACTTAAACAAAAAAATCTATTTAAATAAAATCAGGATTTTTATTGTATTTATTATATTCACAGCTTCTATTTATTTAAATAAAGATTTTATTTATTTACATAAAATTGTTTAAAGAAAAATAATACAAATTGTTTGCATTAAAATATAATTTCTTTCAATAAAAATTATAGAGCCTTTAGACAAGCAAATAAATAAATAAATAAATCATAAATAAAAATATAATATATAATATATAATATATAATATATAATATATAATATATAATATATAATATAAAATATATAGTATATAATATATAATATATAATATATAATATATAATGTATAATGTATAATGTATAATGCAATATATGAAATATCATGTATAATATATAAGATATTGTATATGATATATTGTATATGATATGTATATATTATATATTTATATTATATTTCATATTTTATATCTATTATATAAGCTTATAATATACATTTTTTTATATATGAGCTCTATTTATTTATTTATTGCTCTACTTATTTTATCTATGTAGAATTAAGGGCTGAAATTACATTTTTAAATATTTTTCCCAGGATTTACAGATCTCCTCACACACTGTACTTCCCATTTGGCCTGTGGTGGGGTGACAGTACGACCCTAAGGGAGGAATTTTCCATCCAGTGGAAACATATGTCCCATTTCTTTATCTCCCCATGGGATCCCCAATAAAAGTGACAGCTGTTACCTTGTGTAGGGCTGGGTTTGAGGGGATTTTGGGCATCTGTTCACCAGGAACACACCCAAAATTCATCATTCATTAGATAAACAAATAAGCATTTAACCTGAAATCTCAGCAGATGTGGCTGGGATTGCTCTGCTGACCCCAAGGTGGAATTATCAACATCCCAGTTATCAACATCCCAATTATCAACATCCCATTCACTCTCCTGGGTGAATCAGCATCAACTTTGCCATTATTGCTGCTAATTTTGATTAGCCAAGTGTATTTGTTCAATGAGGGTTTAATGAAAAAAGCCACATTTCATGATGGTTCCCTAAATAATGGGTTATTACAGAACTCTAATGTTTCTAAGACATGGATAATCACATTTTAGGGATTGTTATAGTGTCCTCTGGCTGCTACTCTGTTTATGGAGCTAGGCTGGGCATGGACACTAATATTTATTAATAGCAAAATCATTCCTAGTACAGCAACATTTTTATATGGCCATAGATAATTTTTACAAATGCAAAAATAAATTATACTTTTAAAAAGTTTGTGGTCTGAAGCAGCTGAAGGTACAACATAATCCCAGGGCAATCATGGGGTGTGCTGATCTTAAATAGTGGGTTGGAAATATCTCACCTGGCTTTGGATATTTAAATTTATCTGTGAATTTATGAAGTGATCCCATGGATTTCTGGTTCATTAAATAGAAATCAATGGGCTCTTGTAGAAGATGCTTTCTCTGACCCCTTTCAAATGCCTGTCTGGAGGTGAGCAAAGTCACTGCTTGTTTTGGGAATTCCAGAAAGGAATCTGACTCCCCTTACTTGGATGTCTGATTTCCATATGGACTAAAATGGGGGGGGAAAAAAAAGAGACTACAAAAGAAAAATTAACTAACTAAGCTGTCATCTGGAGGGATGCTTTTTGGAAAAATTAGCTGTGTATTTAGCTAAAAATACCAGCTGTTGCTGGTTCTAATCTGCTGTGCTTTAACCTTCGCTGCAATTAAACCAAAGAGTAATTTTTGAGCTGCTGTCAACATCATGCAGAAAGTTCAAAGCGAAATTCTGCGTGCTTGGCAACCCTCCCTTCTAAAATTTCATTTCACTTCTCAAATCCTCCAGAACCACCAGAATTTTTCATTCCTTTCAGATGAAGACTGTGAATGAAAGTATTGTTCTTAAAATCTCTCCACTGGAGATCGCTTTCCTCCAATGGAAAAAATCTTATTAATTCCTGAGTCTTTTCTCATCTTGTAAATTAGGGATTACAGTGTCTTTCCTTCTAGATAGTTCCAAAAAACGAATTTTTTTTCCTCTTCCACATGGATTTCTGTGATTGATATCCATCAATCATTATTTCCACCAGGAGTTGTCACTTCCATGATCTCTCTGTTGTATGTTAGTATTTCTCCAGTGCCTTCCCAGCACTGGCTCCAGAAACACCCACTCCACAACAAGACATATTTAAAGCATTCTAAGGCATATTTGAAGAGGTAAAAAGAAGGAAATCATATTTTCTGTGATGTTAACCTTTCAGTAGGATACAGCAAAACCTAGAGATGGCCCTAGCACAGTGATCTGCACTCCCAGCTGGAGAATTTTCTCTTCTTTGTTTGATTTTTTTGGGTTTTTTTGTTTGTTTGTTTTGGGGTTTTGGGGGGTTTTGTTTTGGTTTGGTTTTTTTTTTTTTCTTTTTTGGTTTTTTTTGTGGTTTTTTTTGGTATTTTATTCCCTTATTTTTCTTTCCAGAGAGAGGTGATATTGCCTGGCAATGGAAATCTACAGAAGCAAAATCTCTGGTTTTTTTCTACTTGGCACTGTACAGCTGAAATATTCTGCAATGTATAAACACACTCAAATGGATCTCAGTCACCAGATCAGAAATGAGCACATTTTCAGTCCTTTGATTTGCAGTAAGGAATAATACAAAGGATAATTGACAGTTTCTGAGCGTTGCCATATGCGCCACATTTGGAAAATGCTTTCATTCACAAATCCAAATAATAAATATGAGCAGCTCTTGCTGAATCTTCCAGCAATTCAGGTAGTTTATGTGATGCTCAGTTGAGAACACTCCCTGCTACATTTACCACAAAACATGGTTCACTGTGTACAACAGAGAAAATTCTTCTAATTTTTACCAAAGCCATAAAACCTATCCTATGTTGACACCAGGATTAAGGGTTCCTAATTAAAATCCAGTAGAATAAAGAATGTAATCAGGTATTAGAGAGTTTAAGAGGGAATTACATCCTCTGCTCACATTTCAGAACCAAACTCTTTGGCTTGTTGCTTCTCTTGGTTGAACAAAAACAGTGTTCAGGCAATGAGCTCTGTTATGGCAAGAAATTGGAAATAGTCTGTCACTGATCCCATCTAAACACAGGGAAACACTCAAGTACCTTGTTGAACTAATTAATTGATTAATTGATTGTGTAAGAAACCCAGGCCTCGTAAGTGCTGCAGTAGAGATGCCAAGGGTGGACAGTGGGATTAATGAACACGGGGTTAATTGGATTTGGGAAGCAGTCTGTGCCTGAGTTTAGATTTATCCCTAATCAATTAGAATAGGATGACAAGAGAAGAGTTAATGAGAAGGGAAGTGATGCTGTATTCTCCAAATCCTTTTGTGTCCTTTCTGGGGAGACAGTCCTGGTAAAGTGCTTTAAAAGCTGACATGGAAAAATGGTACAAAACCCCCAAATTGGGTGAAAAGACAATAAAAGTCACTGAATTCCCAAAATTAAAGCTGTTGGAAATATTTGCAAATTACAGTTTCTATTAGTTTGGGTCATGTATTGATAGTTTTTTGCTTACACAGGAACAAAAAGTGACTGATAAGGATCAGGGGCCTCCTAAAAACCTGAATATCCCTGGAAGATTGTGTGCTTATTTTCTCCTGAGGTAAAAGATGCAGGGTTTTGTTGCTACTGCTGAAATTAAGGTCAGCATTGCAGCAGAGGGAAATTGGAAAATGCATTAGCCTGTCAAAAAGGCAAAAGATCAATGCAAAGGTCCAGATTTCTCTTACAGGATATTTTGCCTGGATGAGTATTCCAACATCCTGCTTGGAGACTGAGGGAAGGAAAGCCCTGTAACCAAGTTTTCTGTGGAAAACATGTATGACCCATCCCAGCATTCTCATAATGGGAATAATAATGGCCATTGGAGCTTATTTATATTTATTTATTAAAGCAACCAGGATTCTAAAACCTTTGTTTTATCCTTAATTTTATATAA